TCCCGCGGATGCGGTCTCAAGAGGCCAACTTCCTCTCGTTTTCTTACAAAATAAAACGTGGCGGGCAGGCCCTTCGTGGTTAATCGACAATGAGAATCAATGGCCTAACGATATCATACAAAGTTGCGAAGTTCCCGAACTAAAAAAGAACACCTGTTTAATAACGACGTCGGGTAATCTAGAAATCTTATATAGATTTTCATCTTATGCTAAATTGTGTAGAATTGTCGCGTACTGTCGCCGTTTTCGTCCCGCCAACAAATACAATGGTGCGTTATGTAACAAGGAGATCTCTGAAGCCGAGATACAAATTTTGAAAAAATTGCAATCATCTCAATTTCAAAGGGAAATTAAGGAGCTTGAAAATAAAGGTCGCGTCATCAAACATAGAATTGCCGGTTTGAATCCGTTTCTAGACCAAAATGGTATCATCAGAGTCGGAGGCCGTCTGCGGGGATCAAATCTATCTTTTGCTCAGAAGCATCCGATCCTCCTCCCAAACCGTAACCCGCTAACTGACATCATCATTCGCGAAACGCATGAATCAAATTATCACGCAGGTATTCAGCACACGTTAGCTACCATGCGTCAGAGGTTCTGGGTACTCGATGGTAGAAATCAAGTGCGCAAAGTCGTTCGCACATGCGTACGGTGTTTTAGATTCGATTCTAACAACATCCAGCCCAAAATGGGAAACCTCCCCGCAGTACGCGTAAGCGAGGCAATTCCATTTTCCAATACCGGCATCGATTTCTGCGGGCCATTTTATATTAAGGAACGAAAATTCCGTAACAGGACACGGATTAAGGTATACGTTTATATATTTGTGTGCATGGCTATTAAAGCCGTACATCTTGAGGTCGTTTCCGATCTGACAACCGACGGATTTTTAGCCGCGCTGCGACGTTTCGCCGCGAGACGAGGATTACCGGAGCACATATACTCCGACAATGGCACGAACTTCGTCGGCGCCAGTAATCAATTAAAAGAAGTATACGCCTTGCTTAATTCCGAAAATCACAAAGATCGGATAAACAAATTCGCGAGCGACCGTCGTATAGTGTGGCATTTTATTCCGCCGGCAGCACCACATTTCGGTGGACTGTGGGAAAGCACTGTGAAATTATTTAAACATCATTTTCGACGCGTGATAGGAGATTCCTTATTCACATTCGAAGAATTAAATACGTTTGTCGCCGAAGTCGAGGGGATTTTAAATTCCAGGCCAATTACCACACTTTCGTCTGACCCCAATGATATGTCCGTTCTAACACCAGCTCACTGTTTGATTGGCAAGCCTCTAACGGCCCTCCCGGAGGGCGA